CTCCCCCCCCCCAAAAAACAGCTGCGCTCTGCACGCTGGCAGAGGCCAGGCTCTCCAGGTGTCATCAAGGTGCCTCGCTGGAGGCCACCTAAACGCCTCGATTTACTTACAAACTGTTTCATCAAAGGAAATAACACCCAGAAGTAACAGATGTCCCATTTTGCTACATTTCCTTCAGCTCTCTGTATCTTTGATAAAACTAAAGGCCCAGGTCGAGATGCTTGCAGGACGCAACCAACCGATGCGTCTCTCTCACATCGGTGTCTCTCTCTCCCCCTTCCCTCCCTTCCACTCTCTCTAAAAGTCAGTGGAAAACATATCTTCCGGTGGGGATGAACAGCAGCAAAAAAAAATAATCTACGTCTTTGAACTTTTCCTATTGTCATTATTTATTGTGACCTTTTGAAAGCCAGAGGTAGTGAGAGTTGGGGTTTGAACCCACGTTTGAGTCGTCGGACCAGCCGCTCACCAGCACCCCGAGTGCTCCCCTCGCGGGGTCGGGTCTCGCAGCCGTGGGCACTTCCCCAGTCCCTCGGCGGAGGCGGGAGGCGGGAGGCCACCGCTCCTGGGTCAAATCCATGCTGCTGGGGGCACAGGTGGGGACCAGGGCGCGCTGTCTGTGGTCCTGAAAGTCCCCGCCGGCCGCCAAGCCCAAGGGCAGGGCCCTTCCTGCAGCCGCGGCACGGGGCCAAGCCCAGCGAGCATTTCTGATGAACAACTGAAGCCCCGCAGGTGACACTCCAAGAGTCACGAAGGCCCCGAGGACGGTGGGGAGCGGAGGAGGGACGAGCCTTCCAGCGACAGCGATGTGAGATGGTAGCCATGGGCTAGGACAGCTTATGAAATCCGATCGAACAGCCTTGCAACCCAATGTGGGTCTAAATACCTAGAAGCACCCCCTTTTGTAACAGAACTTCCTATGCAGGGAGCTCTGACGGACGGGTCACCCCAGAGCTACGTCAGTGCCGGCAGAACGGCAGACCCCACTCAGCATCCCGGTGTCCCCTGCAGCAGTTTTGGGGTCCAGGGGTGCCTGCGGGAAACGCGGAGCTCCCTCGGCCGCGCCGCGCGGAGGGCAGGGTCGCAGCCCCGGGCCCCACACCCCTCCCGCCCGGTTTCAGCACCTCCTTTGCCAGGGCAGCGAGACTCCTAGGTGCCCCGCAGAGCTCAGAGTACTTACTGGAAGCTCCTGGTCAAAGGCCGTTCCTCTCAGTGTAATGTAAATGATGCCCCCGGACTGGGGATCGAGCCCGCGGCCTGGGCTTGTGCCCTGTCGGGGAATCGAACCGCGATCTCCCGGATCGTAGGTCAAAGCTCAACCGCTGAGCCACATGGGCCAGGGCAAAACTTTCCTAAAAGGGGGGGGCAGAGACCAGTGAAGGCCATCACGTGGTCGGGGTGGGGTGACTGTGGGGCCCAGTTATATCCACTCCTGAGTCACCCAGAGAGCTCTTTGGGGGACTTAGGAGGCCCTTTGCCCTGTGGCCACCTTCCCACCCTCCGTGGATCCCAGTGTCTGACTTCAGGATAAATGACCAAATGACAAATCAGGAAACAGTCGCCCTCTTAAGGGTCAAAGTGCCACACAGTGTGTGGAACAGCACAGACTCGGGGTGTGGCGGGCGGCCCAGGAGCAACAGCCTTCTGGCCACGGCTGCTCGGTCCAGTCACATACCCGACCCTCTCCCCCGCGGGGGCGGAGCTCCTGCCCCGGAGCCCTCCACTCCCCACCCTGGGGTCCTCTCTCCGCACCCACTCAGCGTTTCTTACTTTTTCGTGGGCCACTCTGTGTTCTGCTGCTGACTTTTTTTTCCCCACATCTGAGAATTTTATTGGACACGGCTCAGGGCCTGGCAGGCCCAGGACATGGCCCTGCAGCCAGGGCGTAGGACGGTAGTTCCATCCAAAAGGTCTCAGGGTACACGGTAACCCCACAAGGGGACGCTCTGAAGAGTGCTATAGAGTTGGGGGGGCTGCTCCACAGGGGTGCAAACAGGTCAAATTCTGCTGTTGTTAATCGTCACCTGAGGATATTTTTTCCATTGCCTTTCAGCGAGTGGAGGGGAGGGAGGGAGGGGGGAGAGAAAGATACAGAGAGAGAGAAGCATCCATGTGAGACACGCTGATGGGTCGCCTCCCACCTGCACCCCAACTAGAGGCAGGGAGTGAACCTGCAACTGAGGCACGTGCCCTTGACCGGGAACCGAACCCGCGACCCTTTGGTGCCTGGGCTGATGCCCTAACCACTGAGCCGCACTGGCCAGGGCCCAACAGGTAAAATCTTTATAAATAACCAACCAGTGAAAATGACAGCTGGGATCCAGGCTCATCCACAGAGCACGCGAGGGCAGGCGGCCGGGCGGCGGTGGCCAAAGGCCAGCGTCCTCACCGGTGGGGGGCCCGGGTGGGTGAGGAGTGGGCGCAGGTGTCCACGCCCGGCCTGTGGGGCGACAGAGGGTGGGCACGGGACACATTCACAAGGCCAGCTACCGGGGTGGTCTTTAGGTCACGCTCTGCGCTGCTGGGCAGGAAGGTGCGGGTGAGACCGTGGAGGCCCCGCAGCTCTGCAAGGGTGACGGTCAGGATCCGGCCCACGCCCAGGCCAGCGCCCGGCACCCAGTATCCAGCACCCGGCACCCAGCACCCGGCACCCCGCAGGGGCCCGCCCGGCGCAGCTGAGGGGACGGACGGGCTCGTCTGCGGCGCGTCCCCCGCGCAGCCCAGAGGGGCCGTCGGGGAGAAAACCGGGGCGCGGGGACCCTGAGACGCGGCTA